TAGCTCCAGGTGGAGGTGGTATAGTCGATGTTAGGTGGATGCATAGTGATTCTGTGTATAGTCCAATGGAACCCTTTCTGATCCTGCATCATCGTCACAATCTCTGTTGTGTTACAGTCGTTGTGTAAGTCTGACTCACTGAGGGTCTTCCTCCCTTACTGAAGCTCTGCTCTTCCAGGCAGGATGCCCTCGAGGGCCTGACTTCTCCTAATAACATGCCCCCAATGAGATAAAGGTTGTTAGGCACCACTGAGTGCAACCCATAGTGATCCTGTGAATAACAGATCTGAACCCTGTCCTCTCCTATACCATCCTCACAAACTCTGACATACTTGAGCCCATTGCTGTAGACACTGTGTTAGTCCATTTAGTTGAGGGTCTTTCATTCTCTTTCGAAGCATGATGTCCCTTTTTCAAGCAATAACCCCTTCTATCAGCATATCCAAAGTATGTGAGATGACACTTCATTACTCTTGTCTCCAAAGGAGCACTTTGGCTGCACTTTCTTCAAGACATATCTGTTTATTCTTTTGGCAATCCATGAGCTATTCAGCAGTCTTCTCCAAGACCACAGCTCAAAGGTGTCAATTATTTTTATGCTGTCCTTACTCATTGTCCAGCTCTCAGATGCATACAAGTTATTAAAAAGACCCTGGCCTGAATCAGGCACACCTTAATGTCCTCAAAGTTTTATTGCTCTTCAATAATTTAGAGAGGTCCCTGACTTTCCCAGTGCAATATATCTGCTGATCTCCTGTCAGTACCAAGAGTGTTGACTGTGGATACAAGTAAGAAGTTGTTGACAGTTTCAGTGTTTTCTCCATCTATTATGATCTTGCTTATCAATCCAATGGCAAGAATTCTTGTTTTCTTGATGTTGAGATGCAATCCATATTGAAGGCTGTATCCTTTGATCTTCAGCAGTAAGAACTTTAAGTCCTCACCTTCAGCAAGCAACATTGTATTATCTGCCTAACGTAGGTTATTGATGACTGTTCCTCTGATTCTGATGTCACATTCTTCCACAGGGTCCAGCTTCTAACATAATTTGTTCACAATACAGATTGAGGGAAGCCCTAGTGGCCTAGTGGTAGGAGGCTGCATTGCAATCCTGAAGACCCACAGATTGAATCCATAAGCTGCTCCACGGGAGAAGGATGGGCAATCTCCTCTCATGCACTTAACTGCCTCTAAAAGCCTGATAGAGGTTCAGCTCTGGGTCATTCCAACTTGACAGCACAAAACAACAACAGATTGAATAGATATGGAGAAAAGATACAACGCTGATGAACATCTTTCTTAATTTTAAATCAAGTAGGTTCCCCTACTCTGTTTGCACAACAGCCTCTTAGTCTTGGTATAAGTTTTGCATAAACACAATTAAGTGTTCTGGGATTCTTAGTCTTCTCAATGTTAGCCATAATTTGTTGTGATCCACACAGTCAAATGCCTTTGCATAGTCAATAAAGCACCAATAAACATTGTTTTGGTTTTCTTTGCTTTCCACCAGGATCCACTTGACATCAGCAATGATATTTCTAGTGCCATGGCCTCTGCTAAATCCAGCCTGAATTTCTGGCAGTTCTCTATGATAATTTTAAAAATGATCTTCAACAGTATTTTGCTTGTATGTGGTATTAATGATATTTACATTATGTTGGATAACCTTTCTTGGAAATGTGAACAAATATGGATCTTTTCCGGCCAGGCAGCTGTACTCCAAATTTCCTGGCATAGACTGGTGAGCACATCCAGGACTGCATCAGTTAGTTGAAACATGTCAAGTGAGGTGGAAGTAGGGACACTTAATTGTATAAGGGAAATGCCATTTCCCTTGCCAGCTTTAGAATGAGCATGTGACCATAATCAAGTAAATAATATATGATGGGAAGTGTGCTGGACTGGAGAATGGAGAAGTAACTTCTGGGGAAAATGTCTTTGCTTCAGAGACAGAGCTAAAATAAAATAAAAACAATACCTCTGGGGAGCTCTGGTGGCCTAGTGGCAAGGAGCTGCAACTACAATCCCAGAGGCGCAAGGTTCGAATCCACCAGATGCTCTGCCGGGGGAAGGAGGGGACAATCTCCTCCTGTACCAGTCAGATCTGATTTGACGGTACACTCACACAAAAATAATAAAATTAAAAAAATTTTTTTAAAAAAGAAGACAATAGGCCAAGGAGCTATGCTACAGCTTCAAGTAAATAAGGGCTTGAGACTACCAGAAACTGAGACCAGAAAGGATCTTCCTATAGAGAATTACCCGTTGATATCCTGAATTTTTTTCTGCCGTTAGCTTCCAGAATTGTTAGAATTTTATACAATAAATTTTCTTTCTATAATTTTCTATAATTTATCTAATTTTTGGTATGTTATTACATCAGACCTACTACAGTGTTCCCAGGAAAAAAAGAGGTATTGGTTTTTTGGGTTTTTTTTCATTTTTATTATTTTTGTGTGTGTGTGAGTGTACCGTCAAATCAGATCTGACTGGTACAGGAGGAGATTGTCCCTCCTTCCCCGGCAGAGCATCTGGTGGATTCAAACCGTGTGCTTCCGGGATTGTAGTTGCAGCTCCTTGCCACTAGGCCACCAGAGCTCCCCGGCCTATTGTCTTCTTATCTGTTTCTTCTCTTTTATAGGATACCACTAACACTGGACTAGAACTCACCCTGCTTTGATAAAAGTTCACATTCATTTAACCGATAAAATCTTCAAAACTCCTATTTTGAATGTTACATTTATAGGTCACTCAGATGAGAACTTCAGTGTATCTTTTTTGGGGACCACCATTTAACCCATAACCTATATATTATCTTGGAAGGTGAAATTTGCAAATGCTACTGCCTTTTTTGTTACCAGTCTGGTGATAAGACACAGCAGTGAGATGGAATCTGAGTAGTAGATAACAGTGATAAGCTTGTGAATTGACCAATCCTAAAGTCATAGTCATAGAGACTATGACTGTACAAAGTATTGGGAATATTGGGAAACTGGGAAGTTGTAAAAAAATGAAATAGAATGCATACAAATTGGCAGCCTAGGATCAGTGAACTGAGATAGGCTGGTACTGGCCATTTTGAATCAGGCAATATTATAATCTATGCTAGGAATGACAAATTGAAAAGGATAGGGTAGCATTCCTCTCCAAAATTAACATTTCAAGATCTACTTTCTTTTTTTTTAGGTTAGCAATTACTTTTTATTGTATAATAGTTTGCTCAGGACAGGGCAGGCTTCAGAACTCTTTATACACAGGGTCGCTATAAGTCTGAGGTGACTGGATGGCACATAACAACAATATTAGTTTGTTCACAAAGTTCATATACATTGTTCAAGAACCATCCTGAAGTATAATTCTTAGTGTTAGAACAACATTATACTTTCATGTGCATGTAAAGAAGATCTGTTAATAAAAATATTATTCAAATATACGGACCAACCACCAAAGCCATGAATGAAGAAACTGAAGAGTTCTACATTCTGAAATCAGTAAAACACAGCAGTAATAAAAACTGGTGATTGGAATGCAAAAGTTGGAAACAAGGACTAGTATGCAGTGCAATCCCATAGGCACACAGTTCGGATCTACCAGATGCTCTGCTGGAGAAGGAGGGACAATCTCCTTCTGTACCAGTCAGATCCAATTTGACCGTACACACATAAACACACACACACACACACACACACACACACACACTTTAAAAATATGTATGAAAAGGACTAGTAGTTGGAAAATATGGCTATGGTTGATGGGGTGGTACTGATAAATTCAGAATTCTCTATGTATATCAGTTATGAAACTATAATTATATAGTTATAAAACTGGCATCAGTTTTCTCCAGCCTGGAAAAATTGCTTGACCTTAGAATTCTTAGTGTCTTTTCTTTAATCTGTCTATCAGAAGAAGAGATGCATCTCCTAGATTAGCTGTCATGTCTTTGAAGCTGTTTTCCCCAATCATATGTAAATTGTAACTTAATCTACTTGTTTGCTGGAGAAAGGGAGTATCTGGGTGTGAATGGTTTTCTTTTAGATATAGAAATTCTTTTATTTTACTAACAAAAGTTTATTGTTAAGTCAGTTGGTGTCTTACCCTAGTATAAAAGCCAGTCCTGGAGGCAGTCTTTGAGGCCAACCCACTGTCCTCCACAGATCTGTAATATAAAGTGCTTATAGATATTGCATTGCAATGTTTGTCTTATTGTCAATTAACTATGGAAAGAACCCCTTGTGTTCAGTAACATGGTGATAGAAATAAGATTGTAAATCAATCAATAATTGTACAACCACTAATTTATTCATTGCAAGTATCTTTTTAGAAACCCATAACATGGACCTTACTGGTGGAACACACAGTAATCCTATCTGTGGAAAGAAATGACCAAGAAGTTCAGTATCACCAGTCAAAGAAGAACAAATGCTTTTGAATTGTGATTTTGGCAAAGAGAGTGAATGTCCTCAGACTGCCAAAAGAACAAATGTATGTTGGAGAAAGTGCAACTAGGGTGCTCTTTAGAGACAAGGCCAGTAAAACTTCACATCCTTTGAGCTTGTTGTTAAAAGGCCAATCCTTGGAGAGAGACATCATGCTGAGAAAGGTGGAGGGTGATCGAAAGGGAGGAAGACCTTCAACAAGATGTACTGACACAGGGACTACAAAAATGACCTTGAACATGACAGAGCCGATGAGGATGGCACAGTGATGTGTAGTAGTTGACTTCACAGCACCTAATCAACAGCAGCAGCGTGGTACCTGCGGTGGGTTTGTGGCAGGATGGGCCATCCTAGACTCTGAGCTTCTACAGAAGCCAGAATTCCTCCCCTGCAAAGAGGAATTTGATAGACACTGAAGAAGAAAGACCAGGAGCAGCTCTTCAACCTTGAAAAGCCGGGTTTTCCCACGTGCCAGGCGTTGTCCAATCACCGTGCAGACGTGGGGTCACGTGACGCAGCGTGCGCGCCGCCCCCGGGAGCCACGCTGGAGCCCGGTCCCCCACGATGGCGGAGCCGCTCGCCTCCGGACAAACGGCGGAGCAGGTGTGCACCTTCCTCTTCAAAAAGACTGGACGGAAAAGCGCTGCAGGCCTCCGGAAGCGCCATGACCTTGAACGAGAGCCCGGGGAGAGCGGCGGAGGCGGCGGCAGCGACTGCAGCAGCGAGGAAGGCAGCGCCGTGGTTCGTCCCGCCAAGAAGCGGCCGGGCCCCCGTCGGATGACACAGAAGGCGCGTGGCGGCGGCGGCGGCAAGCCCGGGGCAGCGTCCAGTGACTCGGAGGGTCTGGAGGAGAAGGACCCTGAGAGCCTCGGCGTGATCTACTACAAGTCCACCCGCTCGGCGAAACCCGCGGGGCCCGAGGACATGGGCGCCACCGCCGTCCGCGAGCTGGACACGGAGAAGGAGCGGGACGCGCAGGCCATCCTCGAGCGCAGCCTGAAGATCCAGGAGGAGCTGAGAGGCCGTGAGGACGACGGCATCTACCGCGGCCTCTACAGCTACCAGTACACGAGGCCCAAGGGCGTCTCCCTGGGCAACGCCTGCTCCAGGATGGTCAGGAAGGGCCCCGTCCGAGCGCCCGCGCATCTGCGGGCCACCGTGCGCTGGGATTACCAGCCGGACATCTGCAAGGACTACAAGGAGACCGGCTTCTGCGGCTTCGGGGACAGCTGCAAGTTCCTCCACGACCGAGCGGATTACAAGCTGGGCTGGCAGATGGAGCGTGAGCTCGAGGAAGGACGCTATGGCGGCCAGGAGGACCAGAACTATGAAGTGGAAAGCCGCCAAGAGGAAGTGCCATTCAAGTGTTTTATCTGTCGCCAGACCTTCCAAAACCCAGTGGTCACTAAATGCAGGCATTACTTCTGCGAGAGCTGTGCGCTGAGGCATTTCCGTCGCACACCCCGCTGCTATGTCTGCGACCAGCAGACCCATGGCATCTTCAACCCGGCCCCAAAATTGATGGCCAGACTGGAGAAGAATCGAGCTGCCAGAGGGGGTGCTCCTGGGTCCCCCAAAGACTCCCATAAGAGTCCAGTTCCCGTTACTTAAGTTTCTCATGATTATCAAATCTCAGAATAAATATGTTGTTGTTAAGTGGAGTATGATTCATGTTGTCCATTCTATGAACAGTAGATCTGAGCTCTGCCCTATCCTGGTCATCCTCTGATAAGATCTGATCTCAATAGATCTGATATCTGCACCATCCTTAGCATCCTGTGTATATTTGAGTCCTGGCTGCAGACCCTGTATCAATCCAGCTTGTTGAGGGTCTTTCTCTCTTCCCCTGGCTTTTCCAAGCATGAGGTCCCTTTCCAAGGAATAGGTAAAAAACAGAGAGAGAGCTCAGTTGGCCTAGTGAACAGAAAGTGATGCTACCAAGCCAAAGGTGGGTGACCCTAATCCGTGGCCCTTAGGCTTGATTTTAATTGTTTTTGGTCAAACATTCTTCTAGGTCTTATACCCCTGATCTGTCCACTTTGTATACAGAGGTTGCTGAGATGCTGAACACTGACACTAATGTGTCAAATGCAATAATGGTTACCCATGGTGGACAGTGATTGGAGAAGCTACTGATTAAAACAAGCTTGAAAGCAGGAGAGGCATCCACTTCCTAAATAGCTTGCTTCGGAAAACCCTATGAACCTTATGAAAGTTATACAAGTGTTCAGGTCTTTTTGTCATAGGGTTACTATGACTCACCCATGACTTGACAGCACTTAACAACATGTTGGATGGCTTGACCATCCTTGCCTCCAAGGAGCATTCTGGTTGTATTTTATCCAGGACATATCTGTTCTTTTGGCAGTCCATGGAATATTAAGTGCTCTTCTCCAAACCCATAAATCAAATAACATTACTTCTTGTGTCATCCTTATTTATTGTCCAGCAGTCAAATGTACAGCAGGTGATTGGAAAAACAAAAAAAAAAAACAACCGTATGGCTTGACTCAGGTATGCTTTACTTAGTCTTTAACATCATTGCTTTCCAGGACTTTGGAGAGATCCCTGGCCTCAGACTTTCCCGATCTATGTCTCCCAATCTCCTAACTGCTGGTTCCAAGGGTGCTTGTAGACTGGATCCACGTAAGATGAAATTGCTGACAATTTCAAGCCTTTCTCCTCTATCATAATGTTGCCTGTTGACAGTGGTGAGAATGTTTTGCTTTCTTGATGTTGAGATCTTTCATAGTGAAGTCCTTGGTCCTCTGCAGCAAGAAATGGCTTGCTTGTTAGTAGTTTGCTCTTCTGAGTACTGTCTTTATCAGTTTACTAAGGCATCTTGCTGGCTGCTGTGGTGCTGGTGGCTGTGCCACTGGTATTTTAATAACAGCAGGAGACCATGGTGGACAGGTTTCAGCAGAGCTTCCAGATTTAGGCAGACTAAAAAGAAGGATTGGCTGTCCACTTCTGATATAACTGACCTTTGAAAAAACACTGTAAACACTTAAGAGGAGGTGGGGCAAATGGTAGAGAACTGCCAGAAACTCAAGCTGGATTCGGAGAGGGGCACAGGAGTAAGTTACTTCAGTGGATTGACTGAGTGATCACAACAGAGGAGCTGAGCATATTGGAGACTTTGGGGATGATGTAGCAAAGGAAATGACTGTGATGTGTTGTTCAGAGGGTTGCTGTGAGTCATTGTAGATGCAGAATCACCCAACAGCAAAGACTACAGAGGAGCCCTGGTGGCACGGGAGGTTAAGCATTGAGATACTAACTCAAAGGTAAATGATGCCAACTTACCAGCCATGGAAACCCTGTAATCTATATTGTGTCCTATAGGGTTGCTATGTGTTTTTGAAATGATTTGAGAATATTTTTTTTTAGTGGATTAATCTTTCTGGACTTCTTGTTACATGAAATAACAAATGTCCTTAAAGTTTAAATCATTTTGTGGTACAGTTGCTTTGTTTTTAATGGTTGAAGGAGTGCTAAGTGATAGGAACACCACAGAGATCTAACAATGCAATATGGTATGTGTGATCATAAAAATATCTATGTGTAAGGGATTACAGGAGCCCGGATGAAATTTGGGGGGGTGGGGGTGGGGTGGTAGGAATGCAGGAAAGATTTTCTGAAAAGAGATGGTCCTTACGCCTTAGATTCTACAACGTGCTGTTTGTGTATTTTGGGTTTTGGATTTTTAACACTTAGTCCAAAGGCAAAATCAGGAAAGAAAATGACAACATATTGAAAGTAAAGAATGGGTTTTCCAACAGTTAGTAGATAGCCAGCTCACCACTGGATTCACTAATTCTAATTCTCTTTGAGGGCAGGAATGGTTTTACCAAATGAAGGCAAGAAAGGAACTATCTGCTTGCAAAAACTGCCAGCTGCAGTTATCAACTCCTGACTAGGCCCTCATCCTGTGAGGAGGATAATCAGGGTGATGGAGGAAGGGGGACAGAGGTGGGAATTGAGTTCGCTCTGTGCAAAGCATCAGCTGAAGGGCCAGAGCTGTTCTGCTGCCTTTGTTCAACTCTGCAGACGGTTGCAGGCAGCATGTGCAAAGCTGGTAATGTCAGGGTGGCTAGTGGCTCAGCAATTGGATTATCTTTATTCATGTGCTGCAGGCCAGAGAACAGCACAGTGGCAGCAATAATAACCTCTGAAAATCATATTACAGATTTCATAGAGTCTAGGATGTACCTGTATTCATACTGCAATGCCTCTGAAATCATGATTTTTCTTTTTTTTAAAGTCATGAGTAGTGTGCCCTGATTTAATTGGCAGCATTTCCCCTGCGGCCCACATCCCTTTTTGTTAACTGCTATGGCGTCAGTTCTGACTCCTAGTGACCCCAGATGAGAAGCTAGTACTGTCCCAGTAGCCATGCTTAACCATGGTGTCCCCAGGGTTCCTTTACCCATATCCTTAGGGAGATTATGGATTGAAGGAAGATTCATCAACAATCTGCCTTATACAGATGACACAACCCTGCTTGCTGAAACTGAGGAGGACCTGAAGCGTCTGCTGCAGAGGGTCAAGGACTGCAGCCTTCAATAGGGATTGAG